TAGAATTCCTAGGTCCTGGGGAGGATTGAGCTTGCAGCTCAGATCCTTATTGAGTCTTTTGCTTGGTCCTGCTCTCGGTAGATTGGGAGCTGAGCAGACTGCACCGACAGTATAAGCTGATGGAGGGAGAAAGGCAAGCCTATGGCAAGGAAATCCACCAGCGCATTAACAAGCAACTGTGAGCTGAGCACCTGGGCTCTCCCCTTCCCCCAGCTGGTGAATAAAGTAAAGCTGCTGGGGGCCAGAGTCCTGGGTCTGGAGAGGGAGGACAGGGCACTGTGTCTCACCTTTAGTGATGCTGAGTTTTGCCTCCTTGCTGGCCTCTCTTCTACCTCCCTGCCTGGGCAGTGAGGAGATAAAGCACTTGGAGGAGGTTCGGGCCAAGCTCCATGTGCAGATTGGTATTGCCCAGAGCCAGAGCAAGAGGCTTCAGGATAGTGAACGGCTGGAGACCATGGACTGCCTGATGAAGTGCCGGAACCGGGTGCAGCGTGAGGTCGAGGAGCTGCGGGAGCAGATCAGATCCCTGGACAGACAGGTGGGTGGTTTCTGAGACCAGGTTCTATGAATCCTACTTAACACTTCACTGAGCCTGAGCTTCCTCATCCATCTAGTAAGATTGTGTTCAATGGAAATATAGATAGGTGGGGGTTGGCACAGTTCTAGGCATTCAAAAAGGGAGCTGATGTGGCCAAGCAGGAAAGGTTCGCATTCTGGAGTCAGCAAAACCTGCATCAAAATCCTGGCTCTGCCCTCAGAGTTCTGTGACTAAGTGGTTAGGTTTTTACCTCTCTGGGCCCTAGTTTCTTCACCTTCAAAAAGAAGATTTTACTTTGTGGTAATGCAACAGAATTTAGATAGGTTTCTAATTCCATTAGCTTCAAGATCTTGCTGCTTGACCTTGCAAACAAGGTCAGTGTTCTTTCAAATTTTTAGACCATGACTCACTGGGGTGCAGTTTGTACACACTAAGATGCGTAACAATGTAAACACACATATTTGAAACAGAAGTTTCACCAAGTAATACTGATTTTTTTGCTATGTGGGATTCATTTTGCTGTTTTTCCCTTCTTTGTCTAGACCAGATGTTTTCTTGCATTACTGGCTCACAAAAAGGAGTTTGAAAGTTATATATCTCAGTGGTCTATATTAATTTCTTATTGCTGCTATAGCAAATCACCACAAACTTGATGGCTCAAAATAACATAAATGATCTTAAAATTTTGGAAGGCAGAAGTTTGAAATGGGTTTCACTGGGCTAAAGTCAGGGTGTTGGCAGGAACGCCTTCCTTCTGGAGATTGCCGTTGGAGAATCTGTTTCCTCGCCTTTTCCAGTTCCTAGAGGCTACCTGCAGGCCTTGATTCGTGGCTCTTTCCTCTGTTTTCTAAGCCAGCTGTAGTCAAGTGAGACTTTCTTACGCTGTGTCACTCTAACCTCTGCTTTTGTTGTCTCATCTCTGATTCTGACTCTCCAACTTTCCTCTTTCACATATAAGGACTTGTGATTACAGTGGGTTCACTTGGATAAACCAGGATAATCTCCATCTTAAGATTCTTGACTTCATCACATCTGTAGACTCCTTTTTGCCATTTAAAGTAGCAACATATTAGGCTGGACAAGGTGGCTCAAGCCTGTAATCCTAGCAGTCTGGCTGGATTGCTTGAGCTCACAAGTTCAAGAGTAGCCTGAGCAAAACTGAGACTCTGCCTCTACTAAAAAATAGAAATACTGAGGTAAGAGGATCACTTGAGCCCAAGAGTTGGAGGTTGCTGTGAGCTATGACGCCATGGTACTCTACCCAGAGTGACAGCTTGAAATTCTTGTCTCCAAAAAAAAAAAAA